TCTCATCTGGATCTTTCGCCGTATTGTTGCATGTCAGAGCTGAAAGTCAAACATATTAGTGAGTTGCAGTTTATGTGAAAGATGAATTCACGAAATCTTCTAATAAGATTTGGTGTTTCAATTTTTATATAAAGTGTGAGGGTGTGGGCATGGGAGTGGTTGAAATAGAGACCAACACCAATACTGCTACATACAACAGATTTTATGGTTTAGCCGAAAGAGAGAGTTTTACAAGTCTTTGTTATCACCTGCTGGAGAATCAGCATTAGCAGTTTTGATCAATGCAGAGACCAATAAGATTATAAGCAGGCTGCGCAGCCCGCGTAAATGTAGATTAAATGACATTGCAAGTTCCCAGAATATCGATTTAGTAGACATTTTCCTGAAATAGAAACATATAAAAGATGCATGGTTCTTTTCTAGATAGCAGAAAGGAGAAGTTTTGTTAGCATCGGGTTGGCGAGGTAAGCTCTCGTAGTGAAAAATAGTTCTTCCACTATGATTATGGTTATTTGATCATCCTTACTTCTCGAATTGTTCTAAGGCATTTTAAACAAGGAAGTGCATGGTTTTTTATCTGAAATTTGGAATATGAATGGGTCTCACCGTTACCGGAATGCCCTGAAAGCAACGGTCAGAACAATCTTCCCATCTTTAGCTATTTAGTTCTTTAAAAGCATAATAGTTCTAAAATCTGTTCCTTCAAGCTTTATTTTGTCCTCGACCATGTTATCCATAAGATATATGCGTTTAGCAAAGTTCAAATCAAATACATGATGTTCGGTTTTATTCCAACAAGCTTTAAAACATGTCGAGATATGATAAAGATAACGTTTCTAACTGAACTTCAAAGGCCTTGACATTCTCCAGAAGTTACAGTAGTATATCACCAACTACGGCCAAATTAATGATTAAAGTATTCGGCATGAAAAGGTTTCACACTAAATCTGTCACTCTAATTAGTAGTTCACTTGCACGTTACTTGTAACCTTGGCGACAAAAGCTTTCATAATTTTATGTTGTTTTCATTATACACATATTCTTCTCATATAATAGTTCATGTGATAATTCTTGAGGGATTTACGATTTCTGGTCCAAAGATAGGTACGGTTCGGTTTAAATTTAAAAAAACTCGAAGCGTGCCCATCTCTGTTCTGACCGTTGAAAATTTTGGATTAAAAGTTGTCAGATAGAAATCCGAGATATAAGAAAATGACTTCAAACCCAGAACCCAATTTTTAAGAATTTTAATTTGCAAAGAATTCAAATTTATCTTAAGTGAAACTCGAATTTATTGTGAAATTGATATGAGTTTTCATATATATCTAGAAGTTAAAAGTATCCAAACTGGATTCTATTAGACTCTATACAAATAAAATGCAAACTTAAACTAGATAAATGCAAATTTATTCGAACGAAACTAATAGCCTATTTATTTTAAACTTGGACTTCCTTGAATCAAATATAAGTGCATTTAATTTCATACAATTCATATATAAATATTGAAATTAATTTTGAAGAAATATGACTTTCACAATTTGAATTGAGCTTATATAACTTTCAATTCAACTTGAGTGAAATCGAATTAACTTAAAAATTTATTCAAATTGAATTTCAACTAAAATCAATTAAATTCTACTAAAAGGCATTTCAATTAGGTGCCGATGGATGTGAGTGTAAGAAGAGAAGATCTACATTCGCATCTACACCCACACCCTACTTAGCAATAATAAATTCCATTTTTCATTTACTTTTATTTGATAGAAAGTTCTTTGCTGCTATTTTTCAAAATCACAGGACTACTTCTGGAAAACCATTTTTAAGCACCTTATACACTAACATTCGATTTACAATTGTTCAAATTGAGTTTATATAAATGTTATCTGAGTTCTGAGAAATTCAAATTATTGTAAATAAATTTCGCTTAACTTCTATGTAATTCAAACCGATTGAAATTCATTTTAAAAAATTCAGATGAAAACTAAATGAGTTAAAGTTGTTTTTAGACCACTTTCAGTCTGTTTTTATTACTTCATTAGTACACTCAAAAGCTTTTCAATGAATTAAAGTAACTCGTAACGCATATTAAAATAGTTCGAAACTATATTTAGAAAGAAAGCTTGTTAGCGCAGCTTCAAAGAAGCTGAAATGTGGAACTCACGTATATCCTTTAGACTTGTTATCCTGATGCCTGATTTTTAAACTGCAAAATAGCTTTTCTTCGAATACTTATGAAAGCATTAATATATTATATAGAATCTAAAGTCTTTTATGCGTGGTTACTGAGGTCTGTAATGGGAGGGAGGGGGAGGTATGTTTGTAATGTTCGCTTTCTCCGTTGCTAGGTATCTGTAATGGGCAGGAGGAAGTCGCACAAAACTTAAACTGAAAACTTACACTCACTATTTTCTTCGAAAATATACGTGAGTTCCACAAAAATTATGGTTATTATTTTTCAATATAACTAGAAAATACCAACAACGAAGAATAATTCTTTTGTCCGTGGGGTCTTTGGTTCAGATGATCGAGTTTTAATATTTTAGATCCAGTTATTTCCTTATTTCTTATGTATTCTTTTTAGAATTATGTACTTGCGAAGTAGAGATGATCAATGCACATTTAAAAGATTGATAACATTACGAAATAATTTCTAAGGAATCGAAATTAAAATCAATCTTAACTTCATAAGAACCTAAATTTGATATAACTTAGCAAAGGAATACAATGTTTAATTTTTGCGCAAGCTCTTATCTGCAAAACGATTGATATATCTTTCTTCAATAAGACGCCTCAATAAATACGTTCAAAATGAGCAGCCTCTAATCAACTTGTTCAAAATTTGCATCAAGTAGCATTAAGGTATACTCAAGCAGAGAAGCTTTTGTAAAAACGCAATTAAACTCCCAAAAATATGCCTAAAATCAATAAAAAGTGGACACTTTTGTGCGCTTAAACGCGTTTTTTCGAAAGTTTGTCTTCTTAGGTAACTGCGGCTTTGGTATCAATAAATCGAAGTAATCTCAATCGACTAATTGAAAAGCATATTAATATGTTGCTATAAGCTAGAAAGGTTCTGGTGAAAATTTCAAAACTGCACCTCAACCTAAACACATGAGAGAACTATCAGAAACATTCAACATAGCACAGCTTACCAATAAATGATATTCCGGTATTAGGCAACGAGCCTCCAACTAAACGAATCGGGTATACACAAGAATAGTTAGAATTCAAAAATCAAGAACAAATGATTCGAACTCGAAATGGAGAACAAAGATATTCTAGAACTGCATTTCATGTGCTCTTATTCAACAAACAATTAACATTTCATCTATATACATAATGTCCCTCTGTAGTAGTTACTTATATTCAGCTGTGAAGAATTACTCTTGTCGGTTCAGAGTATCATAGATAAAGAAACGACATTTGTTACTGATATGTAGAAAATTCTATGACATCCTTAAACTGATTTCAAAGCCAACGTCTTTGTAATGAAGAATTGTCTTATTCACAGACATCAAGCTTATAGTCTATAAAATAAGTTAAAGTGAAGTGCCATCTGAAAATACATTTCTTTTTATCAGTGAGTGCAACCAAAAATTTACGAAATTTCTTGAGACAAATGCACGTAGCATCATGTCACAATTCCAACAAACGTCAAGCTGTTCTACGATACATCTTTCCAATAGTTTTATCACATCGCTACTTAAAGCAACAATATATAAATTTATCAGAACCTTTCAGAGTTATGATCACATATTACTACAAAAGACTAAAGCTTCAAAAACCATACACTTACCTGTTGAGTCAGTCCGAAATATTATTAGCTTAATTGTAGAAGAAAACTTGAATTTATTAATGTAATCCCTTCACTGGCAATAAAGCAATATGCTGTCACTATATATATGGCCACGAAAACATGACTATTGAATGTAAAATTATTTATTTAGATCGCAAAAAAAGTTTGTTTAGTGCGCATAGATACCTATATTTAGATGATGGAGAA